ATATATATATATATAGTTTTATTAAATATTTGTATATCTTTACTGTTGGGGTCTTCGGGGAACTATCAGAGGTCTAAACTGATCCCTGATATTTCCGTTTTAACATAGAAAAAGACTATGTCCTCAATCTCTTTTTCTGCATCCCCCTGTTATAAATGAACAGGAATCCTCTATACTGAGTGTTCCTGTTAATTTCTAACTTGTGGAGATAGTATGCTTATTATATCCACAACCATGAATGAACAAAGTGATGTAGATAACTTCCCATTCATAATTGGGGACACAGTAAGCTTACTGTGTCCTCAATTATTTACAAAACACTCAGCGATCGCTGATCACTATTTGTACCCGCTCTCCATCCTGACTCGCTCTCACAGGAGGCTGAGCGAGTGGTGTGGGGACTCGGGAGGAGAGCTTGATCTCCTCTGACAGCTGACTCCTCCCCTGCACCACCAGTCCGGCCTCCTGTGACAGCTGACAACTGTCTTCCACCCCCCAGCGCTCTCCTGATCTGTCGCAGGCGGAGAGCTCAGCCTCCTGTGACAGCACTGACAGCTGTCACTGCCTGCACACTGCTCTCCTGATCTGTCACAGGAGGCTGGGTGGTGCGGGAGGAGAGCCTGGCCTCTTGTGACACGCCAGCTGCTCACATCGCTCTCTTCCCTCGCACCACTCGGCCTCCTGTGACAGTTTCTCTCCTCGACACAGCGCTTTGTCAGAGAGGACACAGAGCAGCACCCAGCGGGGAGGAGAAAAACCAAGCATGCACTGCAATTTGGGCCGAAAGATGGCACTTTCAGCAATTTGACAAAAGTGCAATTTTTTTGGCGTTGAAATCTTTGTCTCTCTTTTATTTATGGAAAACCTGCTGTAGTGTTTCCCCTCTTCTAGATCAGTTAACTGCCAGCATGCTGTGTGCCAGGCCCCCTTCCTGCTCTCTGTGGTACAGTGCCTGTTATCAAGGAAACCATAACATCCCATAAAACAACTTGGTAAAACATTACACCTGAACTGAAACAAATCTGGAGGCTGCCATAACTGAGCACCTCCTGAAAATGCATTCTGGCGATAGTATCTGGGAAAACCCCATGCAGATCAGAAAAAGTGAGTGTCATGTCAGAACTCCTGATCTGCATACAGGGATAGCAAGTTAAAGTACTAAAGCCATTGAATCGGCATGACAGCCATGGAAATGGTGCTTCAGAAGAAAATTAACAATGGCGTTAATATTTCTCAGGCTTCCATTAATATGCCTGCTCTAGCCTGGCCTGCAAATAGTGTGTGTGGTATGTATGTATGTATGTATGTATGTATGTATGTGTGTATATTCAGGTCTTGCTTCTGACCTGAAGAAGAGAGGTTCACTCTCGAAAGCTTGTCTTGTATATATTTTGTTAGTCCAATAAGAAAGGTATCATTGCACACTGCAATACTGCGTTTTTGTCTTTTTTGACATCTTGTCTACTGGACTAATACGGCTTACCCATTTATACCCATTCAGAAGCAAGACCTGAATATACACATATATATATATATAATGTATATATATATATTGTGTGTGTGTGTGTGTGTGTGTGTGTGCGTAAGTATGTATATTTTTCAATCACTCTTCTACTCCAATAGCTTATTTGCATTTGAAGGTACATACTCTGGGGCTGTCATTCTCATCCTTCAATTATTATTTGGTTAGTCATTGACCTGAAATAAGATTGGTTAAATTTTCCTGGTCAGTGAATTCTTTAGTAGTGTTGTTGCTTGCACCTTTAACAAACATGTAGTAATGATAGATCCATAAGTCTGTTCTAAAAGGCTCCCTTTTACTATACATCTGTAGAATGGTAACAGTTGGGGATAGTGAAGCCAGCGCAGGAACTAGCATGGACAAGGCACTAATTGAAAATTGTTTCTTTTTACAGATGAAGATACCCCACTAGAAACCGAGACTCTTGGACATGATGAAGGTGGAGACCGAGACACTGGTGAGGGTGAGCCCTAATACTATGCAGCTCCCAAAACTGCATTGCCGGTTCACATGATGTAATTTAGGGCTGTCCATGCACAAGTAGATCTAACTAATTCTGAGAAATATACCAGTCCTTTAGTGAATACAGAAAAAAGTAAAACACACACACAGATGATCAAAAGTAAAACGCACACAGATCTGGGTTTAGAGCTTATTTAAAAGAGAACTAAAGCCAGACCCCTCCCGTCTCTTCCTCCAATGAGTGCTGGTGCAACAGAGAGGGAAGAAGACCCGCGGAGAAGACTGAGTTGGGTGATCAGCGGTTCATGATCGCTCAGTTCTGGATCTATAGAGCCGGCATGTGACACCTGCAGTGTCACATGCCGTCTCTGGAAGGGGACAAATTCTGTGGAGCAACTTAAATTGGATAAGTCTATCTCTGGCTGAGACTAGATGCGTAAGCAGATAGTCCCTGGCATCCTTCCAACCCTCCGAATCGAGATTCGGAGCATCCATGAGCCACCCGGCACAAAGGGGGGTCCAAGCCATTGTGAATAGTAGGTTGGAGGGCTTTGTAAATAGAGCACAGGAGCTTGCGTAGGGTCCCATCTCGCAAGAGAGACTCTACCCCAGAAGGCACCAGTGTCAAAGGCGTAGGACCAAATTGTGTACAGAAAGCGTGCCGTAGCTGTAGGTACCTGAAAAATTGTGCATTGGGAATGTTGAAACTTATCTTTTAAATTATCAAACGACAGGAGACCATGGCATCAGACTGGTTTAAACATGAGGCTTTCTGTTCAGATTGCTGTTCAGTTTAGGTTATTGTGATCAAGTAATAGTGTCGGAGTATTAGTTATATTATCAAGTTTTAGTAAGCCAATGTCTGCTCCCTCCTATTGTACCTATGAACTGTTTTTTGGTGTTGTTCTTGTGTTTAGATGGGTCTCCCCAGGCAGCTGAGGCTGCTGAAGAATATGAAGATAAGTCTTCCACTTTGGATACAGATGACTCTGGAACTATGGGCCCTCAGAGTGAGCCGCACGCTTCAAGCTTTGACCTTCGTCATAGGAGTGCTCTCAGTAGTGGCCACTGACGATTTATAGCTGGACATTTGCATTCCCCCCCCCTTACCCTTTCAGGGGGCTGTTGATGCTGAAGGACTGGTATAGCTGAGTAGAGTTTAATTTATATTGTAACTGCCCGTAGGCAGGAGATGCTGGCTGGAAGGGATAAGCAATTAATTTGTCATTCTTTAGAATGACGATGCATATACTTGCATGCACATATCAGCAGAGCATGTTTATGCACTGAGCAGATGTCTACAATGTCCACTTAAGCTATTAGAACTAGGAGATTAGACGGCCAGGGAATGCGGACTGCCCATACATACTTTATTCTCCTAATATAAACAGTTGGATCAGATGACGTTTATCTTGTGTCTGAGGGCAGCTGTAAATATGCTGTGCCTTTTTATTGCTATTGTTGAATTACAACACCCTCATAATATGTAAACTACTGAGAACAACCGCATGTCTCACTCTATCGCAGCATAAAATAGAGATACCTTTGCTGATTTAGGAATTACAGTACAATAAGGCACGTGTGTACACTTTTAAAAGATTGGAAGCTGGAACTCCTGTATGTCATTTTCTTTTTGTTTTTTTTTCTCTTCCATGTTTGTGATTTCTGTTGTATGTTTTTTGTTAGGTTTTTTTTCTGTTCATGTTTATAATTTTGTTGTCTGTTATTGCTATGTTTACATGTCCTGTGAGGTTTACATCTTTTAGGTTCCGAACCTTCTTTGCTTGGTTTCTGTTCTTTTCTTTGATTTGGTTTCAGTTCTGTGGCCTCCCTTTGACCCTGTGCCTATTTGCTGTCATCTTGTTATGAGCTATGTTACCACCCCACCCATCAACAGAGGAATACTGTGCTCTACGATGTGATGACTCTGTTTGCATGTGCAAACCCTAGCCTGGCAGCACACATTCCACACTGGATTAGCGGAAGTCGCTCCCTACCTCCTCCACTTCACCTTTCTCCAAGTTGGCAGATATACAGCACAACCACACCTTGTGATTTTTAATATAGTGGTACAATAATACGTGTCCAGACAGACCTGAGGGTATGAACACATTGGTGCTCATAATGTATGAAGACACCACGTAATCATGACATGCAAAAAAAAAAAAGGAGTAATTTAGGCTTGTCACACGTCAGTCTGTACAATCTCCTTTAGCTATACAATTATATAGTAAGAGAACTTTCTTACACTATCCCTTCACTTTATATTGAATCAATGATGTTCTCACACTACAGCTATTGGTAAATCTGAAAGCCCGTTCACACCAGGTGTGCTGACGGCCTCATCAATCCTAATGCATAGACAAGGCACATTGTCTTGTTTACAATGGTGTCAGTTCACACCCACTGTTGCGGTGGTGTGCGCTGAAAAATAAGTACACATACGTCTTTTTCACGACAGCGTGCTGCGTTGCATTACATCACATGGTGCTGTAGTAAATGGAACTTATTGAAATGTCACTTTGTGACATGTTGAATAATGACTAGCACAGCAGCTGGTGTGAACAAGCCTTTAAAGAGATTGTGCAATGTGTGTGGCCATCTTTAAATTTATTTTGACAAGATCCAATCCCAATTCAATATCAGTTATCATACATTGAATGAAGGTGGTGCTTGTATCTACCAGTGAGCTTTTTAATATCCCACACCTGACATGTACACTGGGCCCCAATCCTACCTTAATATTCACATTTGCTTTGGAGAATTTTAATTTAAACATATTCCGCGTCTAACACACGTTAATAAACATGGGGCAGCCAGATGTAAATTCTAAAGCACATTGTACTGATCAGCATGCACTGCACACAGACACTATATACGTGTGTCCAATACTTTTCTCATTATTGAGTATTAACATTCCAAAGCTCGGCATAATCTATTTATAGTGACATCACAATATACAAGTGGTAGATAACCAAAAGGAAATTCATGAATACACAATTTGGTGAATGGCCATCAATAAAGTTTTTTTTCTTTATTTGTTGAATTTGTGGTGGTTTCTGGTTGTGCATTATACAGATTCTGTATGGGGTACAGTTGCTGCGTTTTTATTAACACGTCATGCCATCCTACATTAAAGAAAACCTGTACTTAGGAATATGAAGGCTGCTATTGTAAGAACGTATCTAAACCCAAAATCAAAAATGTTATATTTTGCATCTTACCAATTCTTGGATGTGGTGGCTGCATTAGTTTTCATTTTTAGGCGTTTTTTTCCTCCTATTTACCCGGTGATCCGGCCAGTAATTTGGTTCTTTTTCCTTTTAACAGATCAAGCTGTCCAGAAAAAGTTTCAGATAGAGGGTTGAGACAAACCATTTAACACTGACAGGTGCTTACAATAGTCCCCTTTTATTCATTTATGTAAAACGGTTATCCCAAAAGGGAAAGAAAAACTGTTTCTGTAACTGCCTCAAAAGTGTTGGGCCACATTCACGCGGGGACTTGTGCCATGTTTTGGGATTCCTGCGGCAGGAGTCCCAGGTGTCCGTCCTATTCAGCTGTGTCTGCTGTACCCATTGAAGTTAATGACAAGGTAACAGCTGATGGGTTGCATTCACTGTTCAGCCAAAGATTTTCAGCCCTTCTCTTTCGACAAAAGTCGATTGAGCGATTAACTTTTGTTGAGCCAGAAGGGCCACCCACTGTTAGAATTTCAACTAATTTCTGTGAATCAGAGGAGATTCTAACCAGCTTAACTCTAATCACAACTGTATGTTTAGGTGCGATTCGGGATTTCTGCATCAGGAACATGTGAACATGCGTTTTCCTGCAGGAATCCTTAATCTGCTGTTTACAAGCGGCAGCTGTTGCCCATTCAAGTTAATGATTGGGTGACAGCCACTGCATTTAAACGCTGCCACACTGCATGTAATCATGTGTGATACGATTACATGCAGTTAGTTAATGGGGGAGAGTAATTGGGAGAGTAATTGATTCCTAACTGCATGTAGTCGTATCACATTTGTTTAACATTAGGGATTTGTGCAGGAACATGGGTTTTCCTGCAGCATGTTCCTAATCTGCTGTTTACAAGCAGCAGCTCTCACCCTTTCTAGTGATCGGGTAACTGCCACTGCATTTAAACGCTGGCACACCGCATGTAATCGTATGTGATACGATTGACATGCGGTTAGTAAACAATGCATCCAGACAGAGTAATTGATTTCGAACTGCATGTAATCATATCATATACAGTTACATGTGATGTGCTGGAGTTTAAATGCAACGGCTGTCACTCGATCATTAATTTGAACGGTGAGAGCTGTCGCTTGTAAACGGCAGATTAGGGATTCCTGCTGCAGGAGAATGCAAGTTCCTGACACTGAAATCCCTAATCAAACCTAAACGTACAGGTGCCAATGGGGCCTTAGAATCATTTTGAAAACCTTACAATTCTGATCAGAGATTGCACCGCATTGACACTGATCCGACATCATCTCTTCCTTATAACTTCTTTAGTACTTTGGGAGACTTTAAACTCAAGAACTCTAATAAGTTTTAATGAAGCCGATACAAAACAAAAATCAAGTGTTTGGTATGTAACACGTATTTTGCAACACAAAAAAGCACAATTTAATCTAGTTATCTGCTTGTTAAAGAACTAAGGGGAAAATTATTACTAACCCTTGCACTGGGGCTACCCTGCGCTGCAAGGGTTAAGTGCTTGTTTTGGTCTACGGAGTAAAATAAAGTTATTCTCACCTCATCCTTGGAGCCAGCTTGCTCTTAGACTGGTCCCTGGAGCCTCCCCCCCCTCCCCCTCCTTCTACAGCAGTCTATGGTTCTGTAAATCACGTTCTATACACAGTGAATAGAATGTTAGGACACTGAGGGACATACCATCGCTGCAGTGTAGGAGGAGACAGACTGGTGGGAGCACTGTCACAGCCAGCCTGCTTGGAGGATCGGGTGAGTATAACTGTTATTTTTAAACCTAGGCAAAAATGAGCACTTGATAATTTTCCCTGGAGTTCTGCTTTAAAAATTTGCTTTCAAAACGGCTAATATAAGTAACTCCGATCTTACTGTACATTAGCTTTTTGTTATTCTGTGCTCGGCAGCAGTCAATTGGAAGGTCCAGCACAGCTGCCAATTAGGGCTCTGCAGTGCAGTCTACCACTGTGAACATCCTTACAGGAGGGCTGAGTGCAAAGATGGCCTCTCACAGTGTGCTCTGCTGATCCTTCACCATTTAATCAACAGCCAGTTATTGGCCTATTGTTCACCTTTTAGTAACTTAACTTTTTTTGTTTTGTTTTACACATTGTTAATGCCTTCTTTTAACACAATGGCAGATAAGCACAGGGAGATGTTTGTTGGTAAACAATCCTCATCTGTTTACCATGATCGGGAACTGATGATTAGTGTGAGAGTCCCAGCAGTGTGCAAAGATATGTTCTTTTCTCAGCTGGAACGTTCATTATCGCTCTACTGACATAAGTATCTGTATTCATTGCATGGTGCTCCTTTTTATTTTCCACTCTACAGATGATGGAGGGTGCAGGTCTTTTGGGTGCCTTCTCTGATGTTGGGGTGGGAATCTGTTGCCTTAAGCGGGTCTTTTTCCTCTCTGCACTCAGGGGTCTGTCTTCATCCACCAAGTACTTGGTGGACCGCCTTTGGCTAGTCCCTAAGGATTGGTTCTGCTTGGCTTAACCGCTAGGTGGACTAGAGTATCTTACTTATGTCAGGAGCCTTGCACCCTTGGGGAGGGGGTTCAGTGATCTCAGCCTTATTTTTCAAAACGGGACAATGCACACCCTTGCACTTTATTTTGGGTGCTGTAATTTCATGATTCACTTTTCTCATGCAACGATATCCGCAACATGGAGCTTCAAGAAAAAAAATAATGTGCCTGAGACCGTTAACGTACAGACTGTGGGTGTCAAAGTGTTAAAAACAAGTCCGTGCTGCCAGTTCCCATTTTTCCACCCTCACTTCATCAGAATTAACCTAGAGGCAGGAAAGAACACATCTCCACTAGTCCACATTCCTTGTGCACATGAGAACAGTGCTGGGAGTCGGGTTACTTCTTCTTCCTAAAGTCTTCTCTTTTCATGTTCTTTGTGTCAATAGCAGATTCCATCCAGTGACCAGTCATTTCCACTCCCACATACTCAGCCTGTGATTCAGGATCATCCATTGAGATGACATCACAACCTGGTTCAATATAAAGTTCTGCAAGTTTGAACTCAAGAGTAACCACAATTATAGCAGGAGAAACAGAAGAGAGAAGAAGCAACCTGCAGTACAAGGTGAGTGAAACATAACTGCATTACATTGACGGGTTGGAGACTTGACATCTCACTGATTGAAAAGCACTTCATTCTTTAGTGTGGAGCAAGTTGGTGTTTTACTGACACTACTTATGGTTTGCACCCTTTACTGATCAGGATGTAGACTAGATACTAAACATTACCAGCACTGTATGACTTTTGCTAAATGCTGGTTGAAAATACTGCATGGGAATAAATGTGGGGGCTGCCAGTGCTGACCTCCACCTGAAAAAAAAGTCATTTGCCTGGCTGCCTCCTGGCATCAACTATTTCTGAGACACTAACCTAGAACAAACATGCAGAATAGAAAGTCAGGTTAAACAGAATGCTATACACATGTGCCAACTCTGGGACTCAGATTGTAGGGAAGCCACTGGATCATCATGACAGCCAGGAAACTAGCATTTTCAGAAGAGAAAGTCAATAATGGGTATGATAGTAGTAGGAAGTCACCAGCACTCCAAATATGCATTTCAAAGATTTATTTTGAACACGTGCCTAACAAATGTTCTATCTTAACTGCTGCCATTACCCATAGCAACCAATCAGCTAATTTCTATTTTTTCCACACAGCAGAAAAATAAAAATGTAATTTAAATGTAAAAGCTGATTGGCTGCACAGGCACTCCATCTTTTTTCCCCCAAACAAAGTCATCTCAAACGTTTTATTAATTCCCCTCCATCATGTCACATAAGATGAAAATGCCAACGCTTCAGGGCCTCGCAGGGTCCTCATACTCGTAGCGACTCAGTGACGATAAAGGAAACAGATGTTTCAATACAGTAAACCTGACCTTTGTCCATGTAGGAAAACAGTTGAGCCAGGGGAGTGAAAGAAAGATAAATATATGCAGCAGGTGGTTCCAGGCAGGTAAAGTTGTCCTTCTAAAGGGAACCCATTACATTACCCTGCATTGGCACTTCAAAGCAAAACATATGTTTTGTTTTTGAAGTTGTATTGTTGGTACTACTTGTTTTATCATAAATAGAAAAGGAAAATGATGTGACCTACGATGATCTAACTATATGTTTTCTAGAACTTCTTCCGCTTGTTTACAGAAAGTGGTGTGCTCACATTCTCTACATGCAGCTGCAAGAAATGTCTGCTGATTTAGAAGTACGAGGTTCACTGAGTGTTCTATACAACGTGCCTCACCCTGCCGGCTGGCAGACTGTGCGGGGATGAGATTTAAGCAGAAGGTAGACCGCCAAATACATTGCACAAGCAATTGGCTATAGGTACTCTGAAATAAAGGTTGCTGCCCCATAAATCTTCAATGTTTAGACCATCATAAGATCTATTAATCTGTGAACATCTACTGGATAGGGAATGTTGAGGAAAATCTCCACTAGCTTTAACATGGTTCTTATCTTCTAAATCACCAAAGAATGTGGGAAATGATCTGTAAATTCCCAACCTGGTTGATTAAGCTTGGAGCACCACTACTTATTTAATGTAATATGTTTCAGTCTACATTGCTGCTTGATTGTGCATTTGGATTGGCAGTAGTTTGGCTATGTTGAGCCGATTTCAATGCAATAATACCAAATGCCACAAGTGCACTCAGTGAGAAAATTATGGCTGACACAATGGGGGTGCCAGAAGCTGCCAATTAATTTATATTTAACGGTTCTTTTAACTAGGACAGAGAATGCCAAATCCAATTCTGTTTCATTACTGATTCTGGTGGGCCAGTACCACATCTGAGTAGTTACTTATTACAAATTCCAAACACAATTATACCAGACTTTCAAGGTGCCAAAATACATATTTCTCGTTTTCATTTTGATTCAACGAGAAATGTGTTCTGGTACCTTGAAAGTCCGGTATAATTGTGTTTGGAATTTGCGATAGGACAGAGAATGTTTGGTCATGACAACCAGTTAGTCTGCTTGTTATTAAGGAAAGGTGAATAAGCGCCTGACTGGGAGGGAAACGCATCCAATATTCTCCCAGTTGTATAAAGTGAACATTGTAGCGTATAATACTGTAAGATTTACTTAATGTAAACCTTTCCTGAAGGACACATAGAGGCTGCCATTGGTGACTTTCTGTTCTTAAAATCTGAAAATGCTAAGTTGTCAAACTGACCCTCATGCTTTAATACTTTGAGGTGAATATACTAAATGAGTCGAGCCTGTTCAGTTTGCAAAGAGAATTTTCACTTAGCTTAGCGAATGAGCAGAATCTGTTCTAAATGTAATAATCTCATCATGTGCAAGCAAAAATGTTGTATACTACATTTTTCTTTCACACGATTAGTATTTTTTGCAAAGTGAATGTTCACTCAACTTCATCTCATTTATTAAGTGAAGATTCACTTTACTCCATTAGTCAATCAAACCCTATGAGTTATTAACTTGGAAAACTTAGAAGATGTATGCAAAAAAAAAGACATCTGCCTGTACCCTGACTCTTCTTGTACTTGTTCCAGCTCAGTACCTTGAAAGTATTGAAACCTGAGGCTAGGCATAACAGCCCCAGACAACTGGCATTTTCAGAAGAAGGTTATTAATGGAAGCCACTGCTGTTTTCGTATACCCAATATCATGTACTATATACATTTTAAATAATGTCCTCTATCAAATTTCTGACCGTTTTTGTCTATCTGTATTTGATTCAGCGTATGGAAACACTACATTTTGTTTCTTCTATTGATCCTATATTAATAAGCCTTATATTTCCACGTTAGATGGTTTCCTTTGTTCTGCCGCTACTTCTGCACATCTGCCTCATAAATACGAGGTCTTTGGTTCTTGCCGTTGAAGACTTGGCATCATTACAGGCAAGCACAGCTGCCCCAGCTACTGCGAGTAACCAATCTACAGCTATACAGCATACCAAAGTTACAAACCAAAAGCGGCTCCTGTACATCAGTGAACCAGAGGAGGATTACTATGATGACGATGAGGAGGAGACACCAGTTCCTCCACCTCCACCTGTACCTAAGAATCCGTGCACCTACGATCGCTGTGAGCATCTGTCACCAACATGTGAAGATATTCAAAATAAAGCAGGTGGCAATTGTCTTTGCCCAGGTATAGATGGACCAAACATCAAACCAGACCCCCCACAGCTGAGTCAAGTCTTGCCTGGTGACCGAGAAGTGACTGTGAATTGGTGTTCCCCTTCATCTACAGTGCGCAGTTATAAAGTACTGTACCTTGGGCCAAACAGTCAAGTGGAAGAAGGACCAGCCCTTAATGCCTCATACCGCTCCTATTCCATTGCAAATCTCCTCCCTGCTACTCAGTATACAGTGTGTGTGGTGGCCATTAATGATGCTGGAGAAAGTCCAGCAGAGATTAATGAGGCAGAAGAGGATACAGAAGGAAGTATGAGAGGTCCGTGCAGGATGCTCCACACCACTGCCTCCAAAACGTCACACATGTATATAGGCATAGGTGTAGGCCTAGGAGCATTGGTGGTAGTGATGGCTGTCTTGGGCATCTTGCTGTGCATCAAAAAGAAGAAGAAGAACAGAATGGACGTTGAAGAGAAGGAAATGGGAATACCCAATCATTCATACAAGGTTGGGAGTATATACTAGCTCTAAAAGCAATGGACTGGAGCAATGACTTCTGAGAAGTATGTTTGATGTATTAAAGAAACCTTTCCAGAGAGTAACATTATGCTGATTTATCATCCTGAACAAGCAAGTATTGAAGTAGGTAATCAGCATAACAGCCAGGCAACTAGCACTTTCCAAAAGAGATCACCAATGGCAGCCCTCACACTTCTCTTAGGAAAGGTTTTTATAGGTTCCCATCAGTCGATAATATTTATAATGTAACATGTATATACAATTTTTTTAGAATATTTATTTCAATAAACTCTATTTTTATACAACGTCATCCATTTATAGTATTTACTACTACTGTGTAATTCTGTTTGCTTTGCTTTCATTATGTGGATTTCCAGATACAATAGATATCTCCAATTTGCTTGTGAGACTTCTGTAACATAACATTTGTCCAGGTCCAAAATAGTGAAAAGTTGAAAGTGTCACTTTGTGTTGTCTACGGTGTACTGGCTACACACATGCTACGCTGTCTGCTTGTAAAATCTGATGGTCTGACCACACGTGTATAAACAGGATAACTGATCTCACAAGCAGGGAAAATCTGGAAATGTGCCTCCCACACTAGCAAAACACAGGATTTGCTAAGTGTTGGAGTTAGAAAGGGTACGGGGTTGGCAAATATAATGTAAAACCAGATCAACACTTACTAAGATCTACACACAAACAACCTATCTAAAAAGTGACCTATTGGATAGTAAATTGAAAAGCTAAGAATACATTTAGATATTTCAGTCTGACCCTACAGAAAATTCTATCCTACCCTAAAAAAGATTCAGTCCCCTATAAAACCAACTTTTATTAAAGTGTAATTAAAAAACAATTGACTATAATAAGAGGTTAAAAAAAACAAAAAGCTGCTTGTAAAACTTTCCATAATACGAAGGACTGATATTCAATTTCTATTCCATTCATAAAAGTGCATTTATTTCAAACATAACTGCAGCTGTGATTTGTTTTGTTTTTTTAGCAGCCTAAAAATGTTAAGTATGCAAAGCATAAGTGTAATCATAACCACATGCTTCATGCAGCATGAATGGGGGTTTGGAATCAGCCAGCCTGTATTGCTCTGAGCCTTAAAAAGCAGGAAACATCTCCTTTCTCCTCTGGGTTCTCTTCTGATGGCTCATTGTGAGAGATGTAGCTTGCTACATCTACATTTCCCAAGAGAACAATGAGGACCATTAACTGAAAGAAATGATCAGCTGTTTTAAACCAGCGTTTCTGTTGCACAAAGCAAGTAGTTATGATAACACTTATGCTCTACATCAGGGGTCCTCAAAATGTCTAAACAAAAGGCCATTTCACTGTCCTTCAGACTTTAGGAGGGGCCGGATTGTGGTCAGTGGGAGTACATAGTTACATAGTAGATAAGACTGCAAAAAGACACCGGTCCATATCCAGTTCAACCTATATGTGTGTGAGTTGGTGTCAAGTTTGAATCTTCTAAGAATATACCTAACTCTGTATATTGTGCCCAGTGGCGGAACTACCGCCGTAGCGGCCCATGCCGTTCTACCGTGGACCGGTACTAGGAGCCCCCTGCAGAGCCTCCCGTTCAGCAGCAGAAAGGGAAGCTCTGCGGGCGGCTCCTAGTACCTGCCCACGGGCCAATTCCGGTACCATCTGGCCTGCAGCTACATGGCCTGCATCTCTCTCAGATGCCGCCCACATAGCTGCACCTGTCAGCTCCGGCACTCACTAGCTCCTTTCGGCTCTGACAGTTCTCTCTTTGCAATGGGAATTTCCACTTAGTGAGGTGAAATTGTGCTAACATCCGATCATGTGCTAGCAAAATCCTGTTCCTTACCTGGTGAAGACTTCTCTGCATCAGCAAGCAAACAACGCTCCAAGGGATACCACAGGCTTCACAATGCAACCTGATTTTTTTTACTGACTTCTAAAATGTATGCACATTGTGACATAAATATTGGGGTGGTCAATAGAAAGCAGATGGGGGTGTCTACTTTAAATTATATATTCTCTCTCTTTGTTGTTGGTTTCTGGAGGGGGAAATGATCATTTGCATTTAAATCAGGCATTCTTGGTTCACATATATTTCAATACACACATATATATATATCTATAGATATATATATAGATATATATATATAAAGCATTTCCTGGCCATTCTCTACCAGCAGAATACCAATCACTTCCATGTACTTATTGTATTTATAGGGTAAAGAGAGTTACGGAACTTGCAAGAAGTGTATAATAAGTGAAAATAGTTGGCTTGATGAAGGCTTCGTAGCATACCTGTCACACACTTACATTTTGTATACATGGACATTTTGTTTGCTTTTCTTCCTCCAAAAAAGCCAGTGTGAATGCAAAAGCAATTGAAAGAAACTCAGAAGGAACCTAGAAGCAAGCCAGTAATGTCTGTAACTTCTCTCTTTCATTTTCAAATCTTAACTGAACAAACTAAAGAGAGAAGCTGATTGGTTGCCATGCACAGCTGCTCCAGTTTTGATAAATTCCCCTCAATGTATTACTGTCTCTAACTGCCAACGGTTGTACATGTGGGAATAGATTAGTTGTCAGAAGCGCAGTGATGCTCAAAACTTGATAGGTAGGCTATGTATTTAGGAGGCCCACAGTGAAAACTACCAGGAACAATGTCTGGGAGCCAGGAAGGAATTGTATCCCCCTTGGAGGAGACATATTTGATTGGGAGAGGGTTTCTCTCTCCAAATCAGGACAAGCATGTTTGTGTAGCCACAGTAAAGCTCCCCATGCGGCTGTTCTAGGAATCATTGTGGGGGGTTTCAAATGAGCTTTAAGTGTAATATGTGTTTAATCTGAATATATAAGAAATTGCAGAATAGCTCAATACAATTCTTGGATTGCCCTAAAGTGTATATAAAAATAAAAACGTATCTATGACAATTGGAAAGCACTTCCCCTTTAACCGCTTGAAGACCAGGTGTTTAGACCCCCTTCCTGGCCAGGCCATTTTTCAGTATTCAGCGCTGCGATACTTTTGTTCCTCGAACCGACGGATGCAAGCGGCCTTGACCCTCGCTCTCACTCCGGGAGCAAGCGACAACGCAGGTCCTCCCCGCCTCCGGCCTCCGCTCCGGGTGAACCCCCCTGAATCCACTGAGACGACATGAGCATGTTCTTTGTTCTTTGTTATGCTTTGATGTTTGATGCTTTACTGGAAACTCAATAAAAAAATGTTTAAAAAAAAACAAAAAAACAAAACATGATTTTGATACCTTTTTTCTTCTTCTATTACATGAAAAGTATGTTTTGGGGTTTTTTTCAGGGCTAGTTCACACCAGCTCCAGTGTGTTCCGGCCGATTTAGTGCTGTAACACACTGGATTGCAACCCGTCCAGCTCACTGCGTTCTGGGGCATGGCGGTGCATTAAAGTCAATGGCACCGCGGTGTGATCGCCTGCACCGGAACGCATGTCAAATCAATGCCTGCGCTCCGTTGCGGTCAGAAAAAATAGTGCATGCAAATGGAGTTCCCTGACTGCCCCCCCCCC